AGATAGCTTCCCTCCGCAGAGTGCAAACTGGGCCAGCGTTCCCAGGATGTCAGGCCTCGGAGTGGACCAGCCACGGCAGACTCCGGCTGCTCGGTTGCTCCTGCCAGGAAACCGGGGACACCGCACAGGCAAGGGCTCCTGAGGTTGCACACCTGCCTGGGGATCAGGGAGCCTCGCCCCACATCTGCATGGGTCCCCAGCAGCCACATCTACAGCTGCTCATAGCTCCTCCGGGAGGCGCCTCTCCTGACCCATCCGTCCCTGAACATCCCTCTCCACCAGGACAGCTCACCCCGCCGCCCCAGGGGCCAAGCAGCGCAGTCTCAACCCTGCGTGGACTCACAGCTTAGGCTTTTCCTTCCTGGAAAGCGCCCCCATCAGGAGGTGCCGTGAACCGCGAAGGGCAGGTGGGTGTTTGGGAGAAATAGAGGTGGTGGTGGCTCCCTCTAGTGGAGATTGTTAGAAACTGAAGTGGCTCTGAACCTTTCAGGGAAAAAGCGCCAGGGGATTCAGGGTTTCTGCTGGGCCACACAGAGGCAGCGTCGGTGGCCCCCAAGCTCCCACACGTGTCACCTCAAGTACTAAAACTTGTTGCCTGGGGAGGCCTGGGCTGCAGAGACAGCCTCTCCTGATCTCTGTCTCCGGCCTCTTGGACAGGAACAAGCCAGAAGCCAGAGCGACCAGCAGTATGGGCCACCTGCCCAGGAAGCTTCTTGCAGCCATGGACTCCCCACTGCCACCCATGGGCTCGTTCCCCTCCATCTGTTAGGGGCGTGGTGTGCAGGGCGATGGGCACAATGACCCTGGAGCTACGACCCTCAACTGAGCTCACTGTCTATTGGAAGCCAATGGAGATGCCCACGGCTCCTATACAGGATTGGGGTGGGGGGGGGACTTCCAGGCACCAAGCACATTCATGAATGTCACCACTCTTTGCTCTCACAACGACCATCAGATGCACTTTATTCTGTCTCTCGCACTCTGCCCTGACACGCAGGTGGCTTCGTGTTCTGAGATTGAGCTGAGAGAGACAGAACCTCCCTTGGAGCCCATGGAGCGGTAGATTCCAGGCCAAGTTTCTATCGGGGCTGTCGGCTTGGCCACAGAGCCCTGTGAAAGTGAGGCTGGGGGACTCTGCTCTTTCCCAGCAGCAGAGAAAGCTGTGTTGCCCATGCCATCACAGTAATGACAGCCATTACAATGGCTAACACGGCCACGAGCCTCCAGCCAGCCAGGCTCAGGAAGCACCCTGCTCCGAACACATCATTTACTAATCAGAACAGCCCTACGTCGTGAGTCAGACAAGCCTGCTCCCCTTGCCTGGATACCAGAATCAGGTAAGAGCCAAAGTCACCTGGCTCACTGCACCTGCCGGCTGCACAGCAGAGATGCCTGTTGAGAGCTGAGACAAGGTGGCTCTCCCTAGGCAAGAAGGGTCTTCCACTTCCTGCCAGCCGCATGGCCAGTCCACCCTCAGTTCTCCGTGAACTTGCAGGAAGCTCCCTGGTCATCCCAACGGAGCTCAGAGAGCAGACGCCCCCCAGGAGCGTCCTGGTAAATCAGTTGTCTGCCACTTCACCCTGAAAACAAAGACAGGAGTTCACCCTTGGAACAGTCACTCCAAAGACAGCCCGATGGCAGCTGCAGGATTGGCACTCGAAGTAGCCGCGTCCTCTCTCCAACAAGACCTCGCTGGTCCTCCCCAGGAGCCGGGCAGCTGTCCGCTGCCTCCTGCTGACTTGATGGTACTCGCCATGCCTCCCCACTTTTCCTCCCTCCACTGCCTCTGCCCAGGGTGATTTAGTCTCCTGCTTCCTATTTTGGTACCGCATCTACCAGATGGGACATCCTCCTGCCTGTCACTTGCCAGCTGGAGTCTGTGCCAGTCCCACCGTCACCTTTCCTGGGGCAGGGCGGGGGGAGCCGGGGGGAAAGAGAGCCTTCCGGCTGATCTCACTCTCCTGCTCTGTGCTCATACATGGCGGGGCTGGAGGGTCCTCTGGCTACTTTGCTTCTGGGTGCTCTGTCGCTTGGCCAGGAAGCAGACTTCGAGTGGGGAGGGAGAACAGGACAAGGGTGGTGAGTAGAGTCAGGGGGTGGATATGTGGAGGGGGAGAAGGGTGAGAGACGAGAATGAATCATGGAGACGAGGATACAGCTCATCCTAGACTCAGGGTCAGGGAGACAGATGGGGCAGGGGTGACAACAGCTGCCCCCCCCCCACCAGCTTCCTCGAGAGACGGCTGTGGTGCTGGGACGTGGAGCCAGGCTCTGGTGGAGCTGCTCTGGAACGCAGGGAAGGGCAGGGCAGGGCGGAACCTGCCCAGCAGATGGAGGCTCATCGTGCAGGTCCATCCCGGGAAGGGGTTGTCTGGCCTCCAGCAGCAGCTGGGGAGGGGGACCCAGCCTCCAGGCTCCAGCTGTGGGTTCAGGTGCCTTCCACACATCCCTCGAACCCGCAGCCTTGGAGTCAACTTTGCCATCACACTTTCTCTCCCCTCCACCCCCAAGGCCTCCGTGTTGTGTTCTGAACGGGATTTAGCTCCCCTGACTCACACAGACAGGGAAACCCCAAAGGCTTATGTTAACAGTTATCAGGCTGATGCTGATGGATGAGGGGTGGAGGCTGGATCTGATTACAGCATCTGGGAGGGAGGCCCAGTGGGAGGTCTGAGGCCTCTGGGCACTTGCTCTCAGGAGGCTGTACTCATGGGAAGCTTGGTTGTACAAAGACAGTGTGCTCCCTGGGTCTCTATGCTTGGTCATCTCTCCACCATCCCCCAGCCTCATCAGATACCTGAACCAGTGGGGCTACCTGACCTTGGGCTGTGAACCTCCAAAACCATGAGCCCAAATCAACCTCCTTCCTCCCTAAGGGGCTCATCTAGGGGATTTTAGTTAAAGCAATGAAAAGCTGACTCATGGACCCTGTTGGCACTCCTTACAGAATCATCTAGAATCTGTCCATTCTCACTGCTTCTACTGCTCAAGCCTGCTCCCAATCACCATCAGCTCTGTCCTGAATGACTTGAACTCCTGACTGGGAGCTGAAATTTTAAGTCTAATCATGCCAGCTCTCTGCTCAAACCCTGGAGGAACAGCCTCCCTTCCAACTTGCAGTGCAAATTCTACAGAAGGTCCCACTGAGCTGCCCCACCCACCACCACCAGGCATCTCCGGCCACATCTCCTGCTACTCTTCTGGTCACGCACTGCTCTCCAGCCACAACAGCCTCCTCACTATTCCCAGGAAATGCCAGCCATACTCCCACCTCAGGGCATTTGCACTTGCTGTTCCCTCTGAGTGAGATGTTTCTCCCCAGGTATCCATGTGGCTCAGTCTTGGACCTCCCTCTGCTCTTCACCCAGACAATACTTTCTAGTTCAGTGCTCTGATTCGGATATTAGTTTGGGTGCTCCTCAAAGACCCATGTACTAACGAGTGGGTCCCCAAAGTCTTTATGTTAATGGTTTAAGGACTGAAACTGGATTCAATTATGGCATTTACGGGTTGGGCCCAGGGGAAGTCCTTAGGCTATTGAATGCATGCCCTTGAAAAGCAGCTGTCTCAATAAGGCTGGTTGTATAAGCCAAGTCTGGCCTAGCCTCCTCGCTCTCTCCCTCTCCCTCTGCTTCCTGACTATGTGATCTGCCCTCCACACACTGCCCTGCCCTGGTCCCAGCAGACAACCAGACCAAAGTAGGACTTCCACACCAAATCTTGGATCCAAAACCATGATCCAAAGTCAACCTCTTTCCTTCACAAACAGCTTCTCTCAGGCATTTGTGATGGTGACAAACAGCTGATGGATACAGTACCCCCCACCGCCACCTTAAGCTATGGTTTCCCTCCTTTGCATGCATACTCACCTACCACACAGTCTTAATTATTTCTGCATGGATTCTTTCTCTCTTCCCACCAGAACCTAACCCTCATAAAGGCAAAGGCTCGGTTGCTTTTGTTGATTGCTGCATCTTCAGTATCTAGAAAGACGTGGGACCCAGAGCAGGTACCCTGGGAACACTGGTTTGTGAGTGAACAAATGAATATTAGACACAGTTGGGGGAACGCCCTTCCCGGGAGACATCAGTGGTACTGGGCTTATTCAGTAGGAGAAGAGGCCTGGCAGAGAAGAGGGGGCGAGTGTTGTAAGGATGACTGACAGCCACCTTCACTTGCAGTGAGCACTGTGAGTTGTGTGGAAGTGCTGTAACTGTGTACAGTAACTGCAGCCAGCACTTCGCTCACTCCCTCTCCCTCACACATTCACTGGATGTTTTAGGAGGGACAGTCCCATGTCTCGTGCACACATGGTCAAGTGCCCTCAGTACAGAAGTGAAGCCCCATCGCTCAGAGCAGAACCAGCAGGGCCTTGGCATTCAAGCAGCCCACACCCCAGGAGTGCCGAGCTAAGGAAAGTAAGTTCAGTGTGAGAAAATCATCCTAATGTGCTTCGTCACAAAGAGACACAGACACCCGGGTGAGTGGCTGCTGGTGGCAATGTCCCCCTCCAGAGACCCCGGAAGAGGGACAAGACCGGGATCAAGAACTTTCCACTGGTAATGAGGCTCTCCTTCCAGGAGGACAGGCTGTGAGTGAACACCTCTCACCTTCAAGAAGAACAATGGGGGTTCCTAGAGAGAACTCTCACTTCACCCGGGAGAGCCCACACACAGCATCATCGGGTCCCTGGGAAATACAGGAGAAAGACAACTCTGACCTTGGCATTGGCACACTCATGAGACCGTGACCTTAGACCATGGGTTCCACATCTTGCCTTCTTAGAGAATGACCCCATGACCCCTGCCTGAGCTCTGGGTCCCTGTGGAGGGTGACAAAGGGTTTTCCTGGTGATCGTGGAAGTCCAGTACACCCCCATGTGCAGTGAGGACACTTGGAAGGCTGCAGGTGTTCTGGCATCTTCTGTACCTCCCTGCTCTTGTCAAGACCACCGATCTGCCAAACTGAGTTGCCAAAGTCTTCACGTAGCATACACAGCGTTGGAGACTCTGCCATACATGTATTTGGGATTCTTCCACAGCCACCCTTCTGGGTGGATCTGAGGCACAGCCATGCACGTTCTGGAACCCCCTGGCTTCCCCATGCTTTGTCTCTTTTGCCCACACCACCAGCCTTCACCCTCCCACCACAGCCTCACCCCAACATTCTGGACCCCATCTTTCATGCCAGTGGGTCCAGCTTCAGCTTTTGCTCTTCCGGTTGCTGCTTGTGGAGGCCACCAGGGCAGGTGTCAGGCCAACCACACAAATAAGGCTCTTGTCTTCCAAGGAAGTTGGAGCTTCGAGTCTTCTCTGCCCAGCCACTCACTATCAGAAGGGTGTGTGCCGGTCTCCTTGCGCAGAGCAGCGTGCCGGCATTTCCCCTGCCAGGGAGGAACCAGAACAAAACACGGGAAGTTAGCCACATGGGGGGGGGGGTGCAGGGGGGCATGCATGAGGGATGACACGGAGACCCCTGCGAACTCCAGCTTCCTTCCTCAGCTCCTCTGTCCGAGCTCTCTACTGTGCTCAAATCGTATCTCCCACAACCCACATGGGTCTTGCAAGCTGCGTACCTGCAAACTGAGCCATTTCTGCATACATTGTCTTTGGGTGCTGTCCTTATTTCTCCACCTTCAGTGGCCCTCTATCCCAAACAAGCAAGTCCTAGTAATTTGTTTGACTTCCAAGCCCCAAAAAGGGCAGCCCTTCTCCCTCTCACTTCCTAAGGCCCCAATCTCCGATCCTCATAGTTCAGTGACCTCAAGCGCCTGCCTCCCTCCAAGGAAAAGCTCTTGACACCTGTGGCTCTTCCCTTACCTGCCAGGATGCCTCATTCCATAGTCCTAACTCCTTTTTTAAAAAAAATATTTTATTTATTTGAAAGACAGAGTTACAGAGAAAAGTAGAGACAGAGAGAGAAGACTTCTATCCACTGGTACACTCCCCAGATGGCTGCAACGGCAGGAACTGTGCCGATGTGAAACCAGGAGGCAGGAATCCCCTCCAGGTTTCCCACATGGGTGCAGAGGCCCAAGGACCAGGGCCGTCTTCCACTGCTATCCCAGGCCACAACAGAGAGCTGGATCGGAAGAGGAGCATCCGGGACTAGAATCAGCGCCCAAATGGGATGCCAGCACCTCAAGCCAGGGCTTTAACCCGCTGCACCACAGCGCCGGCTCCCAGTCCTAACTCCTATCATCCATCCAGGCCCTGCCGAGCCCCACCACCTTCAGCCCTCATTGGTTGGAGACTGAGCTCTCTCTTCTCTGATCTCCTGCTGCCTTTACGCTTGCTTTCTATTGGAAGGTGCGAAATTTGCAGCCTAGAGCCCTGTGTTCCACATCTGCCTCTACCATGGCCTGTGCCAAGAAAATTAAACTCGGTGCTCATCAGCCCTGATGCAAGATGTCCCCACAACTACCACAGCACTGCAGGAGCAAAGCAGCATCCGGCTAGACACAGCAAAGCAGCAACTGCTCGCGATGTCTGTGACTGCACATGTGAGTCGATGACGAGGTGCTCCAGACTTCTTAGGGCTACCACGGGAACCAGGTGTTTGTGAAACGGCTTTGGAAAGGGAAGGATTGACAAATATTCCAGCTGATGTTATTCTCCTGCCTGTGCAGATTTTTGCAGAATGGAAAGATGTAATATCTGTCATTTCAATTATTCAAGAGCAAATCCAAAGACCCATGGCATAAAACAACTAGTAACTACAAGTTTTACAAATTTCACAGTTTTACTCATTTAACGCAAAAGCACATGGCAAGCCTGGCATTCCAGGGGCAGGAGTTTACCCTGTGACTTGGTGATAACTGGCCATTAGCTCATTAGCATGAGATTCACGGAGATAGCACCTGGCTGCTTTCTCCTGGCCTCGTCAGCATGCAATAGCTTCTACAAAGGGGTTGAAAGTTGGGGGAAGGGCTGGAGCTGTGGCACAGCACGTTAAGCCACACGGGAGAGCCGGTTCAAGTCCCAGCTGCTACAGTTCTGATCCAGCTTCCTGCTAATGCACCTAGGAAAACAGCAGAAGATGCCCAAGTGCTTGGGCCCCTGCACCCATATGGGTGCATTGGAAACAGGGAAGATTAAGCATAGCATGAGTGGTGAGCCTGCAGGCCGCCTGCCCCGCCACCAGAATGCTCGCAGACAAGCCACTGGAGAAGACTTTCTTAAAGGGGCCACAGGAGTCTAAGAAAAAGGCCACCTGGAGACAAGGAGGCAGACCGATCCCAGACTCGTCCACCCGCAGGGAGCTCACGGCTCAGCGAGCCCCGCGGACTCAGAGCACTCCAGCGCTTCACTCTGAAGATGACCAGATCGCCGCAAATACACACCTCTGGGGAAGACCTCCCACAGATTGGAACGGGAGAAACTCAAAGGCCACGCAAAATTCCAAGGACCGTCACTGTAGCCCCAGCGTCTCATGTATATGAGGATGCTTCAAAACGTTGATGGAAAAACAGAACAGAACCAGCCGCCACGGGCTAAGCCTCCACCTGCAGCACAGGTTCCTGACCTCCTGTCCCAGTGGCTCCACTTCTGGTCCAGCTCTCTGCTGTGGCCTGGGAAAGCAGTAGAAGATGACCCAAGTCCTTGGGCCCCTGCACCCGTGTGGGAGACCTGGAAGAAGCTCCTGGCTCCTGGCTTTGGATTGGCTCAGCTCCAGACATTGTGGCCATTTGGAGAGTGAAGCAGTGGATGGAAGACCTCTCTCCCTGTCTCTCCTTCTCTCTGTAACTCTAATTCTCAAGTTAATAAATAAATCCTTAAAAAAATGAAAGAACGAAAAAAGTTCATTTTGGTGTAAATTAATTTGGAAGTCCATGCATAGCTTTGTTTTCTTAATAGATTCAGTTTTTTATTCTCTAGCAAGAATTATTTTAACTTTTGGTCTCAGAATAGTTTTACAAAACAAAAGAAAATTATGACGCCATACAAAGAATCCCCATATCCCTACACTCAGCTTCTCCCATTGTTAGCATCTCATATACATATATTTGTCCTAACTTCCCTTATTGGTTAAGTCAAAACTCCCTCTATCCCTCTTGCCCCTACCACCCAAGCAGTCATCAATCTGTGTTCATATCCAGGTTTGTTTGTTTTTTTTTTAAGGATTTATTTATTTATTTGAAAGGTAGAGTTACAGGGAGGCAGAGGCAGAGAGAGAGAGAGAGTCTTCCACAGAGCTTCTTCCAGGTCACCCACACGGGTGCAGACACTCAAGGGTTGGGCTACCTTCTACTGCTTTCCCAGGCCATAGCAGAGAGCTGGATCAGAAGTGGAGCAGCCGGGACTTGAACCGGTGCCCATATGGGATGCCAGCACTGCAGTCGGGGGTTTTAATCTGCTGTGCCTCAGCGCTGACCCCAGGTTTTTTGTTTGTTTGTTTGTTTTTTAAGCTTCCACGTATGAGGGAGAACATCTGGCATTTGTCTTTCTGTGTCTGACTTATTTCACTTAACATAATGCACACATAGCTTTTTGTGGAAGTATGCATTTTCATAATGTATTTTGAGTGAAAAAAGCTTTGAAATCCATGTGCATTTTTCTCCTAAAACTCATTTTTCATGACACATTTTCCACGAACTTTTTGAAGACCCCCCTCACGATAGGAGCTCAGTGAATGTGTGTTGAATAATCTGTTTGAAACTGTTGCAGCAGCCAATCTGAGAGTACTTCAGAAAGCTCATGGAAATGGAATTAAAAGCTTTGAGACAGAGCAGGTTCAGCTGTTGCCTATAATGCCCGCATCCCATATGGGCGCCCATCTGAGCCCCAGCTGCTCCACTTCCAATCCAGCTCCCTGCTAGTGCACCTGGAAAAGTAGCAGAAAATGGCCCAAGATCTCAGACCCCGGACACGGATGTGGGAGATCCAGATGGAATCTCCAGGCTTCAGCCTGGCCCAGCCCCGGCCTTCACAGCCATCTGGGGAGTGAACTAGCAGAGGGAAGACCCCTCTCCATCTCTCCCTCCCTCCCCCTTCCTCTCTATAATTCTACCCTTCAAATAAATTTGAAAAATCTTTTTTTAAAAAGCTTTGATTTTAAAAACTTTTGAGATCTATAGTTTTTTTCATACTGCATATTTTGAAGAACCACATGGACTGCCTGAATTTAAATAACATTTAATCATTCATCTCATCTCTATCCCAAAACTCTAGGGCTTGGAGAGGGCGTGTTTTCTGTGAAAGCCCTGCCTCCCTCTCCTTTCTACACTACAGGCCCGTCATCACACACGTTTTCTGGAAACATCTACTGAGACAAAGTGTGCAAAAGCTTATGAGCTGCAAGGAGTCTCTGCCTGAGGAAGCCAACACGATGTCTTCCCTTTCACTTGGCCTTCTTAGATGTAATTGCCAACGACACATGAGCTTCACATACAGTACAACATGACCATCACATGTAATACATACGACCTTCACACGGGTCTTTAAATACTTGTGCAGCTCCGGCTGTGTGGTCAACTGGGGAGTGAACCAGCGGATGGAAGACGTCTCCTCTGTGTGTAACTCTGACTTTCAAATAAATAAATCTTTTTTAAAAAATAGCATTATAAGACACAGTGTTCAGAAGCTAGTACTCTTTAACATTGTTAGTGTTACACTTCCTGTCTTTTTGTATGCATATATACATGGATACTGATTTGTACTTTTAAAAATGTTTAATTATTTGAAGACAGAGTGAGAGAGAGAGCGGGTGAGACACAGAGAGAGTTCTTCCATCTACTGGTTCACTCCCAAAAGCCAGGGTGAAGCCAGGAGTCCTTTGGGTCTCTCACATTGCCGGCAGGGACCCAAGGACTTGGGCCATCATCTGCTGCCTTCCAGGTGCAGTAGCAGGAAGCTGGATTGGAAGCAGGTATCCGGGACTCAAACAGGCACTCCGGTGTGGAATACAGCTGTCCCAGGCAGCATTTAACCTGCGGCACCACCACACTGCCCCGATGTGCACCTTTATGTTTCCACAAGGTGGCTTTTGTGTACTGAAAGATGACTTTTGGAGACAGATTGCTTTGATAAAGAAAATATTCCATTTACTAAGGATATAAATCTTTAAATCAAGTTCTTCCTTAAGCTTTGGAGTTCAACTTATACATTTCGTTTAAGCAGAGCTTACCTGCCTTTTTTTTCCCCCCCAAAAGCTCTGAATTCCTTGAGAGCCTCTGGAAGCAATCAGAAGAGGAGAACACCTGTGAATGAACTGAATGTTTGTGTCCCCACTTCCTCAAACTCACGTGCTGAAGCCCTAACCCCCCACGTGGCTTACGGAAGGTCACGGGGTGGAGTGCATGCGCAGTGGGACGGCTGCTCTCAGAGAAGACACAGGGATGCCGGGGACCCTTCTCTCTGCTGCCCACAAAGGAAAGGCCGGGTG